AATTCCAAGATCAGAGTGCCGGTATGGTTAGGTGAGTGCCCTCTTACAGAAGGCAGACTGCCAGTCTCTATGTTCTCCCTCACATAGTGGAAGGGGCCAGGGAGCTCTATGGGGTCTCTTATAAGAGGATTAATACCATTAATGAGGGCTCTACCTTCATGACAAAGCAATTCCCAAAGGCTCCACCTCCTAATACCATCACATGAGGCATTAGCATTTCAACATATGAATTTTGAGGGGACACAAATATAGCACGTAGGTTACACCCCCTAAAGGTTCTTTTTTAAAAAAATATATATTTTTTAAAATTGATTTCAAGAGGAAGGGAGAGAGAGAGATAGAAACATCAATGATGACAGAGAATTATTGATTGGCTGCCTCCTGCACGCCCCCTACTGGGAATCGAGCCCACAACCTGGGCATGTGCCCTGACCTGGAATCGAACCCTGACCTGGTTCATAGGTCAACGCTCAATCACTGAGCCTTGCAGGCTGGGCTAGAGATTCTGATATATTTGGTCTTGGCATCAGGATTTTCCAAAGATCCTCAGATATTTCTAATGTGCAACCAAAGTTGAGAACCACTGATCTAGACATTAATATGAGCAATAGCACAAGAGCCCACAACTCAAGCATGTTCCCTGACCAGGAATCAAACGCTGACCTCCTGGTTCGTAGGTTGATGCTCAACCCACTGGCTAGGCAATTAGGTTTTATTTAAGTTTTTGTTATAATAATAGTGAGCAAAACATGAAAGTCTTACTCTAACATTCTTGCTGTATTTTACGTTTTGTCTTATTATTTTACACTGAAAATGTATTCACAGATTGTTTCATGTGCCATAAAATGTTTAAATACTCATTAAAAAACACAAAAATATATAGAGGGCATAAGCGGGGAAAGCACAACTCCTACCCCCAATTCTACTCTCTAGAGGTTGCCATGTTATTTCTTTTTTTAAAATAATATATTTTATTGATTTTTTTTTACAGAGAGGAAGGGAGAGGGATAGAGAGTTAGAAACATCGATCAGAGAGAAACATTGATCAGCTGCCTCCTGCACACTCCCCACTGGGGATATGCCCGCAACCAAGGTACATGCCCTTGCCCGGAATCGAACCCTTCAGTCCGCAGGCCGACGCTCTATCCACTGAGCCAAACCAGTCAGGGCGCCATGTTATTTCTTGAGTCTTCCTTGAGATATTTACATTTTTATAATATTTTCCTATTATTTATACACATGGGATTATACTGTCACATTGTATTGTAAACATGCTCTTTTAATATATATTGACCATCTTTGCACACTAGCACATGGAAAACCACTGCATTGTTTTCAATGGATGCTGTACAATTCATGGAATAGATTCACCACAATTTACTAAGCCAGTACATGCTGATAGTCATTTAAGTTGTTACAGTTGCTAACTGGCAGGTGTGGCAGGCAGGAGAATGCTCCAGATGGATGACAAGGATTTAAGGAAAAAGGTGGCCCTCAGACTATCATGCAGGTGAATACAGTCTAGTTATGTTTACCTGATATTAGAAAGTAGTCTTGCCCAGCCACGTTGGCTCCGTGGTTGAACGTCGACCTCTGAACCAGGAGGTCATGGTTTGATTCCCCATCAGGGCACATACCCGAGTTTCGGGCTTGATCCCCAGTGTGGGGCATGCATGAGGCAGCCGGTCAGTGATTCTCATCATCGATGTTTCTATCTCTCTTTCCCTCTCCCTTCCTCTCTGTAATCAATAAAAGTACATTTAAAAAAAGAAAATAAAAAGAAAGTAGTCTTGATGGTGATCCTTGGTGGCACACAAGAAGGGGAAGGCCAAAGGAGGCCTCAACCCAAACCAGATTCTTGTCCCGGAACAAGAAAGGATTCAAGCCCTGACCGGTTTGGCTCAGCGGATAGAGCGTCGGCCTGCGGACTCAAGGGTCCCAGGTTCGATTCCGGTCAAGGGCATGTACCTTGGTTGCTGGCACATCCCCAGTAGGGGGCGTGCAAGAGGCAGCTGATCGATGTTTCTAACTCTATCCCTCTCTCTTCCTCGCTGTAAAAAATCAATAAAATATATTTGAAAAAAAAGGGAAGGATTCAAGAGCATGACAAAGATTTGGCAAAGCACAGTAAATTTATTAGCGATAGTATGTATTCAAGAAAAAGTTTAAAATGCATCCCAAGAGCTGTAATCCTATTTCCACATTTCTTCATTTAAAAACTAACTGGAACCTGAAATAAATGGAAGCTTTGTGAGACTCTCAGTGGCGTCAAAACATCACTTTTCAAGAAGTCCTTTCCTCAGAATTGCCCATTGCAGAAGGTGTCCCTGCAATTGCAAAAGAGCCTGCTGCCGCCTGGAAAGCCCCACTTCCTATCCAATTCTGTCATAGGTGCTTTAATCTCAGCTTAGAGGAGTTTCCTGGCCAGTCAGGACGGGGTCAGAGAAAGCAATTCCAGTCATTGCACTCCAGTCATTGCACAATTTCATCATGCTTGTGTCAGCGGTGGGAGGCAGCTGCGTTTCTTCTACTGGTCCTGGTCCTAGAAACACCCCAGTCAACACCCTTCTGGCCCAACCTGAGAATTTCACACTCTGACATTTACACTGGAAATGTGCATGTGGGTTCATGCATTTTTTTAGGGAAAACGTTGGGTTGGGGGTTATTTTCTCAGCAGGATCCAGAGAATTGGATGTAATCAGCTGTTAAACCAAAAGCACTGAATGCTCTGTAAAATACAAAGCACGTGAGCCAACTGGACAATAAGATAAATGCAATCAACCACAACTCATTGAAGCCTTGGTCTCAGGCTGGTCACACACACACAGCTGTTTGTTCAGCCAGGCACCAGAATGTTGTCACTGACATTTTGAGCATCATTGGTCAGCTGAAAAGGTGATATCCATAAAGTGATGCATAGTAAAATAATAAATTATCATACAGAGAGACAATATTGCAAAGTGGCTAATAGAGTGGGTTTGAATCCTGTCTGTAAATGGGGTGATGAATCCTGCCCTGAAGGGGAGCTGCAGAAATGCTGGAGATGATGGAGATAAAGCAAGCTGTGCTGGGCACAGAGTCTGCACTGTTGGAGGGTATCTGCATTACCAACAAAATATCGGTAAAAAAAATGTCATGAGAAAGACAAAGTTTTAACCAGGATATGGATTACAAGTGACAATCTACGTGATAGAAATATCACCATTTTGCAACCACCACTGTAGCAACTGATTTAGGAAAGGATCATCAATGAATGCTAAAACCACGGATGAAAGATTGTGGGAGGACCAGACACTTCTGCCCAATCAGGTTACTTATTAATTACAAAGAAAAATGTCCCTTTACAATGGAAAGGTCTCGAGGATTCCTGAATGCACCCCCAGTCTAATAATGGGGAAACAACCACACAAATCTAAGTTGAGGAACATTCTGCTTGGAATAGACTTTCAAGAACATTAATGTCTTGAAAGAATTAAAGAAAAAAAAGAGCATGGAAGTGTGAAAGCGGTCTAGCTGGAAGGAGACTATAGAGCAGGGGTGGGCAAACTTTTTGACTCGAGGGCCACAATGGGTTCTTAAACTGGACCGGAGGGCCGGAACAAAAGCATGGATGAAGTGTTTGTGTGAACTAATATAAATTCAAAGTAAACATCATTACATAAAAGGGTACGGTTTTTTTTTTTTTAGTTTTATTCATTTCAAACGGGCCGGATCTGGCCCGCGGGCCGTAGTTTGCCCAGGACTGCTATAGAGACATAACAACTAAAAGCAACACATAATCTCTGATTGGTCCTGGATTGAAAAAAACGAACATGTTCAGGACATTATCAGGACACTGAGGAAATTTGATTTGACAACGTTAAATTTCCTGAGTGTAATGACTGTATTCTGATTATTTGAAATTATATACTTGTATCTTTGTTCTTAGTATTTAGGGTATCTAGAGTATTTGGAGTGATATCTGATAATGTCTTAAATTCATTACCAAACAGTTAAAAAAAAAAGTGGTGCATGAATATGAGAGAGAGAGAGAGAGAGAGAGATCATCACCAAATACTATGAAATATAAACAGTTTGTGAATCCACACACTTGTGTGTGTGTGTGTGTGTGTGTGTGTGTGTTCATTGTACTATGCTCTCAACTTTTCTATAGGTTTGAAATTTTTTAAAACAAAACGTTGGGGATAAAGATCAGGGTATGCAGAAAGACAGAAGCAGTTAACTGAGGAACAAGTCAGTTCACCTCAAGTACAACATCCATGAGCCCCCTTGAGGACCCCTCAATGGGAACACCTATGTCTTATTCACCTTGTTTCTCCAGCATCCTCACATGGTGTTCAGAATATGTGTTTTGCAAACGAGCATGGATGAGTGCCCTCTCGCTTGGGTTTGCTCCCAGGAAGCCAGGACAGAGTCAGCCCTGGGAACAAACAAATCAGGATGGTGCTGCTGAGCATGGCACTCTGAGGCTCTCATGTTGCTGGTGGTACCAGACAACTGGAACTGAATCAACGGGTGGTACCAGGGCTTGTCTCCTGGCGGTGCCCTTCTGGCCTTGCCTGCCTTCTTGGGCAGGGAGCCACAGACCTTGCAGGGCTGTATTTGCTGCTTCCTATTCTCCTCACCATTGGCTTTGGAGGGTCAGTAAAACCCCAAGAGTCTGGAGAACAGTTGGCCAGAGGGGTTGACCCTCATCATGGTCCTCTCCGGCGTGGGACCAGGGACTCTGGTTCCCACACCCCAGCCCTGAATCTTGGAAGTAGGAGAGAGGGAAGCATCTGAGTGCCTGCCGAAGGATCAAGAGGCTGGAATCCAACCCCAGACCCTCCCTCACAGACTTACCCACCTCTCTACAACCCAACCTTGGAGGTGAGAGCTGGGGCACTGGAGGACCACACGTGTGGCAAGGCATTGAGCCCTCCCAGCTGGAAAAGCCTCTGAGTCTGCGACAAAGGGAACACAAAGCCAGCAATGACTCTCAGAACCTCAGTTCCCACCAAAGCACAAAGCATTTCCTGTCCCTTTTCCGTTATTTCACAAGCTGCCTCTTCTCACTTACCCGCTGGGCTCAAGGACAGAGGGCCTTTTCTCCTCCCAGAAGCCAGACAGCTGGCTCTGGCCTCTCCTGGTCAACACCATGGCCAAGACCCCTAGTGACTATCTGTTGCACTCCCTGGAGGAGCTGGTGCCCTATGACTTTGAGAAATTCAAGTTCAAGCTGCAAAACACCAGCCTGGAGAAGGAGCAACAACGGATACCCCGAGGCCTGCTCCCGTCAGCCAGGCCGGTGAAGCTGGCCAGTCTTCTGCTCAGCCACTACGGGGAGAAGTATGCTGTGCAGCTGACCCTGCAGGTCCTGAGGGCCATGAACCAGCACCTCCTGGCAGAGGAGCTCCACAGGGCTATTGACCCAGGTGAGCAGACCCCCATGTCCCCTCCTCTGCTGGCCGTTCATGAGGTGGGGTGGAAGGTGCAAGAATGAGCATGTGTTTGGACCAGTGCACTCTGACTTGGGGACTAGGAGTCCCGCTCTATCAAGATGTTAGTGACTTTGGCCAAGCAAGTCTTTCTCCCTGCTTTGGAGCTGGATTAGTAAAACTAAGGTTCCCAATGGCTTAAAAGGGTGGTGGCGGGAGTAGGCAGCTGAGATTCTGACTCAGGGAAGGATCAGGAGAGGCAGGAGCTAGATGACTTTTCCCAGAGAATTCCTCATGTTATTGATAATTAACACGTATGCACAGACGAGTCTCTGGGTGAGCAAAAGTGGCTTGCTAACCAATCCTATTAACAGGGTTGATAGGTAATCTTTTTATTGTTACCCACATAATTTTAGTTTTGAGTTTTTAATAATTTTTTATTGATTGATTTTAGAGAGAGAGAGAAATATAGATTTGTTGTCTTACTTATTTATGCATTCATTGGTTGTTTCTTGCATGTGCCCTGACTGGGGATCGAGCCCACAACCTTGGCATATGGGGACGACACTCTAATCAACTGAGCTACCTGGCCAAGACTTGAGTTTTTCTTTTTTTAAACAAACAAACAAACAAACAAACAAATTCCATCACCAATTATCCCTACTATACCTTCTTTCACCTCCACCCACCCTTTTCCCCCTGCAACTGAGTTCTTCGCTAACACATTTTACAAAGGCATTTAAAAATTGTTCACGAGGACTTTCTCCTCTTTTTTCTTCCTCTCTTCCTTCCCTACCTTCCTTCCTCCCTTTCTTTTTCTTCCTTTCTCTCTTCTCTCTCCTCTTCCTTTCATCTTTTCTTTCCTCTTTTCCTTCCTTCTCCTGCTTCTTCTGTCTTTTGCTGTACTTTCCAATTTTGTTATATTGTGATTAGCTAATGTGGCCTATTCGATTTCTGCTTTTAAAGACTTTTTAAAGATTTTGGAGGATGGCTAACACATGATCATTAAAAAAATATTCTTTGGTGTTTGAATTTTTCTTCTATTTCTACACTTTAAGAATACATTAGAGCCCTGGCTGGTTTGGCTCACTGGATAGAGCGTCAGCCCTCGGACTGGGGGGTCCCAGGTTCGATTCCAGTCAAGGGCATGTACCTTGGTTGCGGGCACATCCCCAGTGGGGGGTGTGCAGGAGGCAGCTGATCAATGATTCTCTCTCATCGATGTTTCTGGCTCTCTATCCCTCTCCCTTCCTCTCTGTAAAAAATCAATAAAATATATTTTCATAAAAAGAATACATTAGAAATTATTTTCATGTGTTTCTATGTGGTAGAACAGTTTAAATAACAAAAATTATCTGCTCTTTGAAAAAGTGACAGAACTAAACCAACTGTAATCTGAATCCAGAATAATTTGATGAATGGAATTTTTAAATTAGTTTTTCATGCTCTAAAATCTGCATCTTCAGGATTTCTCACCAGTTCTTAAGTCAGCTTTGATAACTCATGTTTTCCTACAAAGCCAACAGCAAAGTGTTTTAAACTACTCTGAAGTAATTTCAATAAGAGCTTCCTCAAACCAAATATTAAGGTGCTAATTACAGGGTATCTTCATCTCTTTATTAGAGTAGTGGTTTTCAAATTATATCTGAGGGTGATATTTCAGGGATTCTTTTGGATATTAGCAAATACTTGATTTAAATTTTATTAAATTTGTTACTAACAAGACTAACAAATTAATATTAAAATGTATCAGTAACCAAATTTTAAAATACTGAAGGCCACAAGTGTGATAGTTCATGCTGTACTTGAACTCCTTTTTATGTAAATCTTGGAAATAAGCCTTTCCTGTCATTTCTGTTTTATTAAACAGTATCCTGACATTTCCAGGCAAGCTGTGTGTTGTTTTCTTTAATTACCATTTACACTTTCTTATCTGTGTGACTTGTGATTTTCTTCACCTCATGAAACCAAAGGAAAAACAAATAAATTACTTCCTAAAGTTTTAACTGTCCTTCATAACCCGATTTCAAAATTTTGGCCAAACACCTTAATTATCGCTTTCCAGTTCTATTGAGAAATAACCAACATATATTACGTATAAGTTTAAGGCATACAGTATAGTGTTTCATTTACATATATTGTGAAATGATTGCCACATAGGTTCGGTTAACACCCATCTTCTCATATGGTAAAATGAGAACTCAGGATTTATTCTCTTAACAACTTTCCAGTACAAAATGCAGCAATGTGGAAATTCCTCTCACCCTAACTGTCTGGGGGCAATGCCACCCAGTACCCTCTTCAAATGAAATTACTCTCTTGAGGGTTTTCGGGCATGAATAATGTGAATTCGGGCTGAAGCATAAAAGAGAGGACTTGTGTTTACAAATCTTCAGGAGAGATTTTCTTTTTCTGCTCTATCTGATGTCAACATCTACAGGTACAGATCCTGCTGTTCCCTTCTGTATGGAAGTTTTTCTTTAAAACCTTTAAATATGGATTTTCAAACACTCAGGAGTAGAGGATACTAAGATGAAGTCTCTCTGTACCCATCACCCTTCAATGATTACCACTACTTTGCCATTCTGAATACTTCTATTCTTCCCCTTGCTTACTGTTATAATTGAGTTTTGTTTTCCTGGCGAGTTTTGTTTGTTTGTTTTTTATTAAAGTAACATTGGTTGATAATATCATATAAATTTCTGGTATAATTATAATTTGATAACTGTATACATTATATAGAGCAGTGGTTCTCAACCTTCCTAATGCTGCGACCCTTTAATACAGTTCCTCATGTTGTGGTGACCCCCAACCATAAAATTATTTTCGTTGCTACTTCATAACTGTAATTTTGCTACTGTTAAATCGTAATGTAAATATCTGATATGCAGGATGTATTTTCATTGTTACAAATTGAACATAATGAAAGCATAGTGATTAAACAAAAAAACCAATATCTAATTATATATGTTTTCCGATGGTCTTAGGCGACCCCTGTGAAAGGGTCTTTTGACCCCCAAAGGGGTCGCGACCCACAGGTTGAGAACCGCTGATATAGGGTGTGCTCATCATCAAAAGTCTAATTTCCACCTGTTAATTCTTTATTGATTGATCTTATAAGGGAATTCTTTACTGATTGATTTTATAATCACACACAAATTTACACCAATAAACTAGGATTTTAGTTATGCATGAAGAATTCTGTTTTTGGAATTCTGATATTGGAAACAAATCCTCCTACCTAAAAAGTTTGAAAGCACTATTTGAAAAATATATAGCAAATAGTATGTTCTTATTTCATGGTAATTTACTGCTATTGTCTAGAATATTCTGAACTTCTCTAATTTCTGAGGGGATTCTCTCTTCTTTCCCCCCAGCCCTGGGCCCTAAGCACCTGACATTTTCATGCCTTTGCATCTCCTTGTCTTTTCAGAATATCCGATACAAGAAAGTGGCACTGACTGTCCAGCAATGTCTTGTTCCTCGGGGGAGAATAAGCCCAAGAGCCTGAAGATGCCAGATGGCCTGGAAGGGGACAGACAGCAGCAAAGTGGTGATGGAGCAGCCAGCCAGCCCGAGGCTGGGAAGGGGCCCCAGAAGAAGCCTCAGGGCAAACGGAGAGATCAGAAGGGCTCAGAGGGCCTGGATGTGCAGGGCAAGCCGGGGGCCAGGGGTGTGACTCTGTGTTCCAGGAGAAGCCCACTCCCCAGCAAGCAGCCGGGGGAGAAGGGCGGTGAGCCCAGTGTCAGGCTCCGCAGGAATGCCAGCTCTGCAGGAAGGCTCCAGGGGCTCTCCAGTGGGTCATACGCTGGGTCCCTGGGAAGGAAAGAATGCAAGGCATCTGAAGCACGTTCACCCTCAAAAAAGAATCGACCCAGAAGTCTTGAATTTACCATTTCTTCCAGAGAGAGAGCTCTCTCCAATCTAGAAACTCTTCTGCCTCAGGAGAAAGTGAGAAGTGAGAATCTGGACTCAGCAGCGGCCCCCAGCAAAGTGGCCACTCTGGATGCAGGGGCTACTATGGCTGTAGCGAAAGGCTCCAGAAATCCAGAACATTCTGTGATCATGGATAGGGGAACACTCAGGAATACACTTTCCAATGTACTGTTGAATGGAAAGGAGACGACCTGGGAGCATCCAGAATACACAGCACTTTTGGAGAAAAATAGAATTGAGGGTCTAGAGACCCCTAAGACCTTGGGGGAGGCAGTAGGCAGTGAGCTTTCAAATCCAGAAGTCCCCTTGTCTTCAGGTAAGAAAGGACCCCAGAATCCAGAAGACCTGGTATCCTTAGGAAGGGTGACATCCACAGGCCTCCTTTTATCCCCCTCTGTAGTTACTGCACCCCTGGTTGCCCCCTAAGGTCCCCAACCCTTTGAGAATCTGTTGGAGGCTGTAAATCCTGAAAAAAAAAATGCACATCTTCACAAATTGTTGTTTCAAATTTGTTAGTTCTTACACACTCTGAAGTGCTTTAGAGTTCCAAGGGCTTTATGAACCCCAGGATGAGTATCTGGGAAAGACTGGGTAAAAATATCCCCTTCTCTCAATAACCCCAGAGCAGTATGTCATGGGGTTGAGAATCTGCCATTTGCCTCTCTCTGGGCAGAGAGGAGAGCTGTTGGCCAAAACCCTAGGTCTCTTACTAAGGAGGAAGAAGTTAGGATTATGTTGGGTTTTGAATGACAGAAACACTATAGTAACAGTAACTAAACAAGATAGAAGTTTGTTCCTCTTTCACATAAATCATAAACAGATGGTCCAGGGCAGATGTGGTACCCTATGGGCCAAAACCCAGGCTCCTGCTCATCAAGTTTGCTTTTAAACTCATGGTCTCAGATAGTGGCATCCTCATTCCAGGAAGCAGGATAGAGAGACAAAGGAGAACAGTATCACTTAGGGAAAGTTTCTAGAAGTTTCCCAGGAGTTTCTAGAAGCTGGTTGTGACAGCTCCATTTACATCCCTCTAGTCAGAATATAGTCAAATGGCCACAACCAACTGCAAAGGAGGCTGAGAAATGTAGTTTTATTTGGGGGGTGTTGAGTCGGGGGAATCAGCCATATGGACAACGAACAATTCTATCACAAGGGAAGGAGGCGAGAATGATTATTGGGGGACTTCTTACAGTCTCACAGATATAGAAATTTCTGAAAGGAAGAGGTGGGAGGGCCCTAATGGATTGTGTTTCTATTTCTTCTTGGATCTCCTGTTATTTCTGCCTTTTTTTTTAATTTTTAAAGTTTATTTTAGAGAGAAAAGGGGAGGGAGAAGAAAGGGAGGGAAAGAGATATATATTTATTTATTGTTCTACTGTTCCACTTACTTATGCATTCATTGGTTGATTCTTGTATGTGCCCTGACCTGGGATCAAACCTGAAACCTGGGATCAAACCTATCAGGACAATGCTGTACTAGCTAAGCTACCTGGCCAGGACCTGTCATTTCTGCTTTGTAAAGTTGTGCTATGGTCTAGGGGCAGAGCTAGTCATACCTGTATGTTATTATGGCAGATTACACCCTTTAGCCTTAGAAAAATCCCCTTCTTTTCTTTCATTTCATGCTCCCGGAACCTGGGTGTGAAAGGCGGTCCATTTGTTCCTTCATTTAACGCACTTTCCCAAAGGCTCACCAGGTGCCAGGGACTTTGCTAGGGGCGGGGGCGTCTGGCTATGAGCCAGTCAACGTCTCCTGGGCGTTTCCTACGCAAGTCATGAGCGGCCTGGGTGGTTTTAAGTGCTAAAGCAAACGCTAGTCAAAATGTCTTGCTGTCTTTATATCAACTGCTAGATCAGTGTGTGTGTGGGAGGAAGGCATAGGATTTACAGCGAAAGGCCTTTCTTTAGGATAAGTCCCCAAGAATTCCAGGTCTCAGGGCTGTCATGAGATCTAGCCCTTAACCCTCAGTCCCAGGGACTTGTCTGCTGCCTTGCTGGAGAGGACTCGGAGCGGGGCAAGCTAGGAAGTGGCCACAGTTCAATGGAGAACTCCCGAGTCCCGGGTGTGGGCTCTTTCTCCGCTGTGCTTTTGCATCACCCCTTTGTCACATCTGGGGGTTGTCACTCAGGGGATTTTTCCACTGCTGTGTTCCCAGGGAGGCCGCAGGATGAAGCTGTGTGTCCCCTCTCCCGGGTCCAGGAAGGAGATCTGGTTGGTAGCACTTGTGTGCATGATTCCTGCAGCTGCTCCATTGCTTCTAAGGATCCCAAGGCCTCAGATGGTTGCTTGCCCAACTGCCTCAGGTGTCAGGTCTCGCTCCCAGGGAAGAGTTCTGGAGGCATCGAGCCGCAGGAGGGCCCACCGATGGGCAGCCTGAGCCCCACGCCCCCGCCGCAATGTACGCGTCACAGGAAGCAGGTCCAGCTGCTCTTCTGCGAGGACCACAGGGAGCCTATTTGCCTCATCTGCAGCCTGAGCCAGGAGCACCGAGGCCACCGGGTGCGCCCCATCGAGGAAGCTGCCCTGGAATACAAGGTAGGGCTTCCTGCCTGGGGGCCCTTCTCTGCTGAGCACTTGGACATGTGGGGGCCTGCTTCCTTTGCCCAATGACGCTAGGAGGTTGGTGCATTAGCTGCCACTCTTGAGCTGTAAATGGCAAAAACACAATATAAACCTGGACAGCACAGAAAAACTTTACCAGTGCGGGTAGCTGAGAGGTCCAAGGGCCTTGCTTCAGGTATGGCGAAATGCAGGTGCTCACAGGAAGTCGTTAGAATTTCTCTTCCTCTTGGCTCTGCTTCCCTTAGTGTGATGGATTCATTCTTCTCTTTCCTGGGCATCCCTCCCTTTGCTTTTAGCTGCAGCACCCTCAGCGTTATGCCCTAAAGCAGATTCTCCCCTCTAGAGTTGGCACCAACTGAACAGAGCTGGAGCCAAGTTTAAGCTTCAACAAATGCTCTTTGTCCAGGAGAAAATTCAGAAGGAGCTGGAGCATCTGAAGGCGTTGAGAAGATCTGGAGAAGAGCAGAGATCTGAAGGGGATAAGAACACTGCAAACTACCTGGTAAGGCAAAGGGTGTTCTATGGCCAGTCCTCACTCAGGCTCACCCCTGCAGGAGGGAAGGACAGAGAGTAAACAGGGGTCCGCAAGGTTCTACTCTGGTTCACGGGGAAGCAGAGCTGATCATATATTTAGAATTATCTGCTCTTGGCTGCAGTGGGGGGAGGGATATGGGTGTCCAAGGATGAGCTGGTCCCTACAGAGCTCGGAGGGAGGGGCATCTCTGAGGACCTTGTCACACTTTCTCATACTCACCACAAAATGGTTTAGAGGAACTAATGCCCGTGACTGTGGCTGAGGGATGGGATTGAGGAACAGGGAGGAGAGACTTTTCAACCTTGAATACTTCTCTTTATTGCTCTTAGCATTGTTGTCCATTTTATTTTTTTACAAAAACCATATTGATTTTTACAATGCAAGTGCTTAAAGTACACATTTTCTTTAGAACCGTGGTTTTGCAATGCCACAGATTACTGGCCTTCCTCTGTGGAGCTGGTGCCCAGCCTCTTGGATGTGTAAATTGCTTCCATTTTACCTAAAGTGAAGGCACCTACCCCAAGGCGCTTCAACTTATCTCATGCACTTTTGTTGGTTGGATCCTATCTCCCTCTCTGGGTTCCAGATTTCTTTTGGGACCCATCACATTGCAATGGGAAACAGGCAAAGATAAAAAAGAATGGGAGGAAGGTGACATTGGCCCAGTGCCTGGCTTTCGGGAAACTCCTAAATTGTAGTAAAATAAAAACCCTTTCCTATAACCCCAGGAGGCTTCGAACTTATGGATGGAACAGAGGTCAGGGATGTCCCCTGAGAAGCATGAGTCAGGACTCAGCTGCTCAGGGAAACTAGGGGGACAAGAGGGTCTAGCCTTCACTTAAGAAATTCACAGTGGCCCACACACTGAAGGGTCAAGGGCACGCACCTTGTTTACAGGCTCACTCCCAGGCCCAGTTGGGGCACGTGCAGGAGGTGGCAGATGGATGTTTCTCTCTGTCTCTGTCTCTGTCTCTCCCACTGCCTTCCTCCCTCCCCTCCTCTCTCAATGGAAAAAATATCCTTGGGTGAGGAAATTTAGTCCTGTCCTTTGAGCCCAAAATGATGAGACTTCTTTTTTTTTTTAATAAATTTTATTGATTTTTTACAGAGAGGAAGGGAGAGGGATAGAGAGTTAGAAACATCGATGAGAGAGAAACATCGATCAGCTGCCTCCTGCACATCCCCCACTGGGGATGTGCCCGCAACCAAGGTCTGAGCCCAAAATGATGAGACTTCTTAAGTCCAGTCTTAGTGGATCTAAGAGGTCCTCACCCTCCTGGGAGGAAGGAAAAGGTGCTCTAGCCACTGCACCTCTCCATAGAAGCTTCCTAGTGATGATGAGAAACAGGGTGAGAGAACTAATGGTTGACCAGTGTGCAATGGTAGTGGAAGTCAAATTCACTTACATTCAAATAAATGGACTAACTAGCCCATTCAGAGCCATATTGAGAACCTTCTGCATGCCAGCACTTGGGGCAGGGGAGCAGGGATTGGAGAGGTTTCCCTTCTGGAGAGCTTGGTGGTCATAATCTTGTCCATTTATGACCCCAGGTATATGCCATCCTCAACACTAGCTTTCAAGGAAGAAGGTGACATCAGATATCTGTGTCCTGTGGCTGCTGTAATAAAATACCACCAACTGGGTGGCTTAAACCACAGAAACTTACTATCTTGCAGTTCTGGAAGCTAGAAGTCAGAAATCAAGGTCTTGGCAGGGTTGGTTCCTTGAGGGCCATGAGGGAAGGACATGTTCCAGGCCTCTCTTCTCAAGTTGTAGATGTCTGTCTTTTCCCTGTCTCTTCACATGGTGTTCTCATGTTCGTGTCTGTGTCCAAATTTCCCCACTCCAGTGGCCTACCCCACTCCAGTATTACCTCATCTTAACGAATTGCATCTGCAAAACCCCTATTTCCAAAGAAGATCATATTCTCAGGTACTGGGGGTTAGAAATTTAACATGAATTTTAGAGGGAACCCAATTTAACCCATAACAGCAGGTTTTAGGGCATTTCCCCCAGAGCCAGTCCCTTCCACCCTCCGTCTGTTGTGGAAAGGTTCTGGTCCATTTTGCCGCCTTCTCTGGAATGCAGGCCTCTAAGAAAGCCTGCCTCTTATCTATCTCCAGGAGGTGGGCTTCTGGGGATCCCCTGGGAGCACACACATCCACCTTACTGCACAGACCCCTTTACCTCCCTGTCCCGTTCCCAGAAACAAACTGAAATCCAGAAGCAGAGAGTCCGGCACCAGATGGAGCAGCTGTGCCGGTTCCTGGAGCAGCAGGAGCGGCTCTTTGTAGCCTGGCTGGAGAAGCTGGCACAGACCATTGTCCAGGTCAGGGAGACATATGACACCCAAGTGTCCAGGGACATTGCCCTTCTCACCGAGCTGATCGAGGAGCTGGAGACCAAGCAGTGCCAGCCGGAATGGGAGCTTATGCAGGTGAGTGTGGCTGGACCTGGCCTTGCCCTGCCCATTGTGCCCAGTAGGAAGACATGGGCTCCTAACACAGACATCAGCTCTGCCCCAGCCAGGGGGTGAGGTCCTTGGGCCCAAGGGTGGGACTTGGTCTTGGTGACCCACAATGCCTCTTGTGCCCAGATCCCTTTTGTGAGCTCTTAGGAGCCCAGAGTGGCCCAGAATGAGGGGATCTCCTGGCATCTCCCAGAAGAGATCAGCAGGACTTGGGTGCAGTTCTGTTGCAGGCCACAGCTGGGCTGCACCTTGGGGAATTAGAATTAAAATTGGGAGAGGTGCCCCAGGTTTGCGGATGCACTGGGACTCAGGAAGAGAGGCCAGTAGTTAGTGCAGCCCCTAGGAGATTGGTAACGGAGAGCTTCCCTCTTTTTTCTCCTAGGACATCGGAGTAACCCTGCGCAGGTACCGAGAGCTCCCCTGGTGATCCCCTGGGTGTGCTGCAGGAAGCATTTGGGAAGGCAGTCCTAGAAGGGAGATGCTCCCAGCCCTGGGTCTGGGACTCCTTCCTGGGCTCCTCCCATTTCCTGCTGCTACGTAAGGCCTTTCTGGATTTGTGTAGCAAAAACAGGAGTGTGATCGGGAGGAAGAAAATGGGGTTGAAGACTGGAAAGAATGAATACAGCCTGCCATGCTGTTGGTGGCGTCCTAAGAAACCTCCCTAATAGATTGTGTCCTATGCAATTCACCTCAAGAAAACTGTTCCTGCAGAGTGCCTGTAGCCTCAGGGAGGGAAGCGCTTTTCTGGAGTGGAGCTGCAAAGCCCCGCAGGCAGGGGAGGGAATGGAAGGGAGGAGGCCGGAAATTACAATCACCCCCTGAGCTTTACAAAATCCTGACATCCAGGCTAGGGCTGGTGACTTAAAGCTGAATCTTCAGGAGTGTAACTCAGGAATCAATATTTCAAGTCTTTTTTTTTTTTTGTGGTAAAATATACATAACATAAAATTTACCATTTTAATCATTTTTAAATGTATGTTTAGTGGCATTAAGTACATTCACATTATTATGCAACCATTATCACCATCCATCTCCAGAACTTTTTCATCTTTCCAAATGGAAATTCCATACCATTAAACATCTCATTCCCCGCAACCCCAGCCCCTGGCACTCAACACTCTACTTTCTGTCTTTGTGAATTTGACTACTCTAACTACTTCATATAAGTGGAATCAAAAAATATTTGTACTTTTGTGTTTGGCTTATTTCCTTTAGCATAATGTCTACATGCTATAGCAGGCGTCAGAATTTCATTCATTTTTAAAGGCTGAATAATATTCCATTGTATGTATATACCATATTTTGCTTATCCAGTCTTCCATCAATGGATACTTAGATTGCTTCCACCTTTTGGCTATTGTGTATAATGCTATGAATATTGATATAGATATATCTGTTTAAGTCTCTGCTTTCAATTCTTTTGGGTATATCCCCAGATATGGAATTTCTCTATCATGTAGTAATTCTATGTTTAGTTTTTTTGAGGAACCACCATATTTCCCACAGTGTCTGCACAATTTTACATTCCCACCAGCAATGTACAAGGGTTCAACTTTCTCTACATCCTTACTAAGGCTTGTTCTTTTTCTTTTTAAATTGTTTTTATTGATTGATTTTAGAGAGGCAGGAAAGGGGAGAGAGAAACACTGATTTGTTGTTCCACTTATTTATGTATACCTTGGTTGATTTTTGTACATGCCCTGACCAAGGATCAAACCCACAACCTTAGTATATTGAGATGACACTTGAACCAACTGAGCTACCTGGCTATTTTTTTTTCTTAACTACAGCCATACTAATGGGTGTGAAGTAATATTTCATTGTGTTTTTTCCTCATCTATTATCATTTTATTTCAATAGAAAGAAAATGATTGAGGAAGTATAATTAATTTGACATAGATAATTCTGGGCTGAGCATTTCAATATAAGAAGCATTTTAAGGCTATTATTAAAACACGTTGTGGTTTTAACATCAGTGCTTTTAAAAACTCCCCAGGTGAGCCCGGCTGGCTTGGCTCAGTGGTTGAGTGTCGACCTATGAACCAGGAGGTCATGGTTCAATTCCCGGTCAGGGTATATGCCCAGGTTGTGGGCAGCTGATCAATGATTCTCTTTCATCATTGATGTTTCCATCTCTCTCTCCCTCTCCCTTCCTCTCTGAAATACATAAAAATAGATTTAAAAAAATAAAAACTCCCCAGGTGATGCAAATGCATGGTCAAAGTTGAGGACCAATGTTTAGAACTTGAAGTCCAGGGAGGAATTTTTTTTGCAAAGCCCAGGCGGGGCTGGGTGTGCCCTGTGGAGGCTGCACCTCCCTCCATTTTATGGGAGCTTGGGCCACTCCATGCTCCAGCCCTCTCTGGACAATAGTCTTTTATCTCTAGAGTCAAGACAGTGACTGTCCCTGAGCCATGGGCCACCCCTCTAGAGGTGAAAGAGAAGATCCACCTGCTCCACCAGAAATCAGAGGTTGTGGAGAAGAGCATGAAGCATTTCTCAGGTAGGTGGGCTTGGGGGAAGATAGAAGGTGCCCACTCACTTCCTCCCAGAGATCCATGTAGCCCAGAGCCACCGGGCATCCCTTCTCCATCTCTCAGTCTTCTGACTCTGCCTTCAGCCTCCTTCTGATCTGTCCCCAGCTGGGGAAATTAACTCTAGTTCTCTTTCTCCTTTAGGAACCCTACGTTCAGAAATGGAAACCTTCAATGGTAAGTACTGTGGTGGTGATATGTGCTGAGCAGGAGTTATTGTGATATTTCCTTGTACTGTTGATTTCTGGGCATTATTTAGAAGAGAGTGAGAAAAATACCTGTGAGAAAGGTCATGACAGGCCCTCACAGGTTCTGTGCGAAACTCCTTTAGCTGGATTAACCCATCAGACCAGAGAGGCCCTGGTACCTGGGAGGAATGGGGTTATATCCAAGCAGAGGAATCAGGTCCTGAGCATATGGGTTCTTGTCTTTCCTTGTTGTGGGGATCCAGGTGGATTTAGCCCTCTGAGTGGGAATGCTCAGGATTTCCCCCCTCATCTCTTTTTTTCTCTGTAGTTCCAGAACTGATTGATGCTCAGGCACATGCCGGTAAGTGCCAGATCAAGGCGAGTGGTCTTGGCCTGATGGATCCCTGTCCATTTTTTCTGGAGGTGGGGTGAACCTGTGGGGATGTTGCCCATTGACTCCCAGCTGGGTATTCTAATTCTCTCTGCAGTTAATGTGGTTCTGGATGCAGAAACTGCCCACCCCAACCTCATCATCTCTGATGACCTGAAGAGTGCTAGACTTGGAAACAAGTGGATCCATATGCCTGACAGTCCAGAAAGATTTGATAGCTGCATTTTTGCCCTGGGCTCTCCGAGCTTCCGCTCTGGCCGTCATTACTGGGAAGTGGAGGTGGGAGACAAGACAGGGTGGGTCCTGGGTATCTGCAAGGCATCCACAAGCAGAAAGGGGAACATGACTCTGTCGCCAGAGAATGGCTACTGGGTGGTGATGATGATGAAGGGAAATGAGTACCAGGCATCCACCTTCCCCCCGACCCTCCTGCGGGTGAGGGAGCCCCCCAGGCGTGTGGGCATCTTCCTGGATTACAAGGCTGGAGACATTTCCTTTTACAATGTGACAGCCAAATCACACATCTACACATTCACCAGCTTCTCTTTCTCTGGGCCCCTTCAAGCTACCTTCAGCCCTGGGACACATGGTGGAGGGAAGAACATGGGTCCTCTCACCATCTGTCCAGTCAGTGACCAGGGGCCTCACTGAAAGCCCTACACTTTGCATCTCTCTTCCAATTCCCAGCCTTGTACTTTGAACTTATACTCTCGCCAGTTATTATTGAACATACATTGGGTTCTGGGTGCTTTGGGAAATATAATAAATCAGAGAATAGTCCTTGTGTCCTAGGAGCTTATGGAATAGTAGTAGAAATAAGCTAGGTCCTCAAATAATGGTAAACCAAGGGTGAAGAGAACACATATGCTGATGACATGCCATGTTTTTTTCAGAGTAGAAAGTGCATGGCTTAATAAACCCTTGTATGGATTAACACCCTAAGATGCTCCTGCGACAGAGATTCCACCCTCATGTTCCCTCAGTACCCATGGCAAGGATATGTCCCCTCATTTTATTCTCCCCTGTCTTGAGGACTTGTCTAGGGGGAAAAAAATAAGCAAAGTGGTTTGCTATACATTTTTTTTGTATCTGGATTAATGAACTGTGGTTCTTAAGAGTATTGGCTGTGCCTGATAAATAAATTGATTAGAAGATTTAATCATAATTCCATTTGCTGTCACTTGATTGATTGCTGTGAGATACCATTTCCCCACTGAACACCATGAAAGAGATGGAGCTACTGTGGTGGGAAAACATTTGACATATATTCTAAGTGTCAAATTTTCTGTCCTAATCTCTGTCTGAAAATCTGTGGGAATATTAGGTGCTTTAGTTCACAGATGTCCCGCTATCATCCCCCATTTAAAGACATGTAAAGAGAAAGGATATAAGGGGTGGGGGGATCAAATCAAACTCCAAATTCTTCCTACCGCACCTCCTCTTTCCACATCTGCACACTAGAGCCAAACTGGACTCCAGTTCTCCATGGTTATGACCAGACCACAAAACACATGCGTTGCTGTCTTCATGGAGCTTGGTTCTATGCGAATAATCTATCTGCTGACACAGTTCACGTGCCCTACTTGTTTAGCTGTTCCCTATGGTTGGTCATTTATTACTCCCAATTATCCCTTACTAATAACCTTTTCACAACCAGCTTTGTATATATTTCCCCCCACCTCCCCAAACACTTATTTTTTTCTCCTGTTATTCCTAAAATGGTTCTAAAATATAAACTATTTGATAACACTTGCTACAGTGGCCAGACAATCCTTCAGAAAGATTAAAAAATGTTTCTGCCCAAAGCAATGTTTGACTTTTTTTTTTTGCTGATTTAACAGAGATGGGGTTTTACCTGTGTTTCATATCATTAATATTTATTGAGGCACTGAATTTTTCCAAGTGAATTTCTACTTTTTGTTTCCTTCTATAGAAATTATATAGCTCCTTTGACTATTTACTTATAGAATCTAGATACTTAACTATTTTTATTTGTAGTATTTCTTTATAAATATTTTAGATACTAAACATTTGTATATGTAAGATGAAATTTTCCCTGTGTCTGGTGGTTTTTTATTGTTATATAATTCACATATCATACAATTCACCCTTTTAAAGTATATAGTACTTCCTATTCCTACATGCTTGCCTTCTCCCACAACCACATCAAATTACAACTAAATTATACAACCACCCTTAAGAACCATCTGAAGACTAGCTGAACAAAACTCGTACAACTGAGGATATAATAAGAAGTCTCACCAAGATTGGTAGGAGGGCAAAGACATGAAATAGGCTGGTCCCAGCCTGGTCTCAGCTATGAAGGTCCTCCCTGAGGAGGACCATTGTTTAGAACTTGAAGTCCAGGGAGGAATTTTTTTTGGAATAGTAGGCTACTGGGTGGTGATGATGATGAAGCGAAATGAGTACCAGGAGTTATTGTGATATTTCCTTTAAACCATTAAAAAAATACTCAAAGGAGACTGGGCACAGACCATAGCACCGGTGCCAGGAAAAGGATTCTCCAAAACACCTGGCTGTGAAAATCAGTGGAGATTCTGTCTGGGTGACATGGAGGGCTGCTGTTGTCCCAGGTATTCCTTTTCAAGGGCCTGTGTACAAACTTACTTGCTGACATACGCACTGGCTCTGACTCCAGTTCAGGGACAGCACTCAAAAAACTGCAGGGAGAGACTGGATGAAACGGACTTGTTTGGCTTTTGGACGGCTGGAGGAGCAGCTCTCCCTGGGACTAAACTGCTGCAAGCACCATTGTTCCTTTGTTGAATCCTCCCTGCACACAGCCAGCAGACACAGGCTGATACCAAATCTGAGTTACCATCAAACTCATCCCACTGTTGATTCCTTGAAACCCACCCTACTTAACTCACATGCCAACCCAAACCTCTTTCAGTGGCTGTTCCTCACAAACTGCCAGTCTGGGCCCACGCTGTGGACTTTCATCAAATCTCTAAAAGGTCCACAAACTCCAAACAAACAGCAGTCGGCCTGGGCATGACCTCTACCTCTGGTTAACTGGCCCAGGACTAGTGGCGGTAGTCCTTGGTCTGCACCAGAGCCTCTCCCAAGTGTTTCCAAGTCCAGCACAGGCACTATCAAACAGATCACTTTGTAGCTCACATCACTTGTCCCCAGACCAGGCACAGGTAATGGCTGATCTGGGCCTGCACTGGAGCCCCTCCCAAAAGGCCCCAGAACCAACACACCAGGTGGCTGGCTTCAGATCATACCAGAGCATCACCAAATTAGCTCCATAAATGACACAAACAACCTGTAGATTTGACAGGCACCAGAGCCTCAGTACAGTGACTAACTCTCCACAGAGTCAATCCCCGCACTCTAGCTCATACACTATAGTCACAGCCAGTCCTCACAGCCAGTCCACCGTAGGGTCAATCCCACTACTAACATGTCAATGGCAATCAAAGCTCAACTAGAACAGGAGAGCACACAAAATGATACCAGGAACACCCCTGAAGCACACAGCTCAGGTGAGCAGGGAGTCTTCACCACTGGGCCCCACAGGACACCTACTAGATAAGGTCACCTTACCAACACTGGGAAACATAGATCTACCTAATACATAGAAATAAATACAGGGAGGCAGCCAAAATGAGAAAACAAAGAAATATGTCCCAAATGAAAGAACAGGACAAAACTCCAGAAAAAGAACTAAACAAAATGGAGGCAAGGAATCTACGGAATACAGAGTTCCAAATACTGATTATAATGATGCTCAATGAACTTACACAAGAAGGAGAAACCATTAAAAAGAACCAGTCAGAAATGAATACTAAAATAACTGAAATGAAGACTATATTAGATGAAATCAATAGATTAGATGAATAAGAAAATCAAATCAGCAATTTGGAAGGCAAGCTAATGAAAAACACCCAATCAGCCCTGGCTGGTGGCTCAGTTGGTTGGAACATTATCCCATGCACACAAAATTTGTGGGTTCAATTCTTGGTCAGGACACATATCTAGGTTGTGGGTTCAATCCCCAGTTGGGGCATGTATGGGAGGCAATTGGTCAATCTTTCTCTATCACACATCGATGTTTCTCTCTTTCTCTCTCTCCCTTCCTCTCTCTCTAAAATCAATAAAACATATCGTCAAGTGAGGATTAAAATAAACACCACCCAATCAGAACAGCAAAAAGAAAAAAAGAATTTTTAAAAATGAGGATAGTTTAAGGGAGCTCTGGGATACCTTCAAGCACAACAACATTCACATCATAGGGGTACCACAGGACAAAAGAGAGGGCAAGAGATTGAAAACCTATTTGAAATAGACATACAAGTCCAGGAAGCACAAAGAGTCCCAAAAAAGATGAACCCCAAAGAGGCCTGCATCAAGACACATCATAATTAAAATGCCAAAGGTTAAAGACAGAGAGAAAATTAAAAGCAGCAAGAGAAAAACAATTAGTTATCTATAAGAGAGCTCCCATACAATTGTCAGCTACTTCTAAACAGGAACTTTGCAGGCCAAAAGGGACTGCCAAGAAATATTCAAGTGATGAAAAACTGGACCTACAACCAAGATTACTCTACCTAGCAGGGCTATCATTTAGAATCAAAGAAGAGTAAACAGTTTCTCAGAGAAGAAAAACCTAAAGGGATTCATTACCAACAAATGAGCATTAAAGAACTATTAAAGGCCCTTCTTCTTCTTTTTTTTTTAATAACATATTTTATTGATTCAGAGAGTAAGGGTAAGGGAGACATAGAAACATCAATGATGAGAGAGAATCATTGATTGGCTGCCTCCTGCATTCCCACTGCTGGGGATTGAGCCCACAACCTGGGCATGTGCCCTTGACCAGAATTGGACCCAGGACCCTTCAATCCTCAGTCTGATGCTCTATCCACTGAATCAAACCAGCAAGGGCAGCCCTTCTTTAAGAAGAATCAAAAACAATAAAAAATATGAATAATAAAATGTCAGCAACTACATATCTATCAACAATTACTTTAATGTAAATGAATTAAATGCATCCATCAAAAAACATGGGGTGGCTGAATAGAGAAGGAAACAAGATATACTGTATATATACACACACACTGACTACAAGAGTCTCACTTCCAATCAAAAGACTGAAACTAAAGGGATATAAAAAGGCATTTCATGCAAATATAAGTTAAAAAATCTGGAATAGCAATACTTATATCAAACAAAATAGACTTTAAAACAAAAGCTATAGTAAGAGACATGGTGGACATTTCATATACAATAGTCAAGATATGGAAGCAGCCTAAGTATCCATCGATAGACGACTGGATTAAGAAGATATGGGAGACTGTTCAGAGAGGCAAAAGCCAGCAAGACCCCAAGCACCTGCAGCTGACACCTGCCAGACCAGCTCCATGGGGGAAGGAAGTACAGCCCAGAAGAGGGTCAATCAAGATGTGAGACCCAAGGCAGACCCAGCGTGTGGGCTAAGGAGTCCCTGACCACTGGACAGCTGGCAAAAAGACATTGGGGTTGAACCTCACTGGCAGCATGTCAGAGGGGAGACCCCTCCCATAAATGGGACATCAACAATTAAGTCCAAATTACAATATGAGAGCCCAAACAATACACACAAGGGGCATTCCTAGAGCATCCAGCTCAGGTGAACAGAGACTACAGCACTGGACCCCTCAAGACACCTTCTACATAAGGCCATCCTACAAAGACTGGGAAGCATAGCAGTTCTAACACATAGAAGCAAATATGAAGAGACAGCTAAAATGGGGAGACAGAGAAACCAAGATGGCAGCATAGGTAAACACCGGAAATTGCTGCCTCACACAACCACTTCAAAAATACAACTAAAAGACAAAACGGACATCATCCAGAACCACAGGAAGGCTGGCTGAGTGGAAATTCTACAACTAGAAGGAAAGAGAAAAGCACACTGAGACTCAGAGGAGGTGCGGAAGTAAAGTGCAGAGGGTAGAGTTTGAGCTCCAGAAATTACGGGTAGAAGACAAAACAAGTCAGAAGAAATCATACGGTTTACCACCTAGAAAAAACAAGAGAGACCCTGTTGTCATTACCTGCAGTCAATGGCACAATTACCCACAGAATAAGAAAACAGTCACCAACCAAAGAAGAGCCCTTTCTTATCCAATTCAAACTGCTGAGATGAAGCTTGTGACAGT